GCTTTGCCCATGGGACGGATTCTTGTGGGATCACGATGGCGCTAAAGTGGTTGAATTTTGTTTCCGCCACGTTGCTGCTGCTTGGGTTGCGCACTGCTGTAGCCGTACCCGCAGCATACATAGCTGCGTTGTAGCCCCCGAAGTCATTGTACACCAGGTGCAGAAACTCATCCCGATAAAGATCGCCAACGAAACAGCCCGTGGTGTCGCCCATTTCCACGATTCGAAGCCCACCTCCAGTTATTGCTTCCCAGACCACGATATTGCAACGTTTCACCGCAGCTACTAACGCCAGCTGACCTACCGCCAAGTAATCGTGCTGCAGTTGATCCTCGATGCCCGCCACCACCTCTCGCACAGTCTTCAGTGGTTTGTGTCTTACAGCTCTTGCAGCTCGGCCGGCGGAGGGGATGCGCTTTCGGTAGAAACCCCTCTCGTAGTCGAGCTTGCCAAGTCTCAGCATTTCCTCGTCAGACACCGTGTTGTCCACTAGCTGCTCGTAGTCTTCAGAGAAAACAGCAGCTATCATTTCCAGGGTGATATCTTCGCGGGTCTGTGTTATCTCGCTTGCTAGTGCACCGAAGGCGCTATCTCGCTCGGGGTGCAGCAGCCTGTAGATGCTGTGCAGAGCGCAATGACCATCGCCTGCTACCTCCAGCACCTTGCAATTCGTGGTGTCCTCGGGGGAGATAACCGCCAGTACGCGTTGAGGCTGCATGCAGCACTTGTCGGCCGTGCTTTTGTGCATCGTGTTCCCAAGATGCCATGTGTCTGTCTTGCCAACCGGGGTTCGCACCAGCATACCACGAGTGGCGGTGTGTGTGTGTGTTGCATCCTGAAGCTCCGCAGCGGCGTGCGGCGCATCATAGCATACAATATTCGTCGGATGACCATTGGCCGCACTCTCACAGTCTCGCAAGGCACGAGATCACGCCAGAGAGTTATTTCAAAACAAAAAATCGCACGAGAGATGTAACTTGGAATCGCTCGCATACTAAATGTAAGTAATAAAGAATATCATAAAAGAAGATGGGGCCAAAAGATGGCCCCAAAAGTCGATTTAGCCCTAACGGGGTTAAGGGTTACATCTCGGGGCAAGCTGCCGTGCCTGTAATTGTTTGGCGTACGGTACAAAACAGAAGTGCTGTAGACTCTGCATGGGAGTATGCACCACTAGCCGGTAAATGTAGACAGACTGCTGCGTCCTACCCAAGGTGCTCAGGGTGCGAACTGAAAACCGTGCTTCGTTTTGCTTTGGCCTCTGTAATGACGTTCATACATGCGTATGGCCGCCCAAGTGCAGGTGTAACTCAATCACTAATTCGCGATTTGTGCGGACTCTACGTGTCGTCCGCACAGGACGCGTAGGAACTTGCTCTACATAAAAATCATGGCCAAGACTCGGGCGTGGTTTGAAGGCGAGCTTCGGCGCATGCTTGGCTTTGATGAGGTGTGGTGAACACTGCTGTTGTGTTTAACCAGGACGTCGGCGCTTGTCGAAAATTCTTGAGACACGGAGGCTGAATATTGAATGAAGTAAATACCCATCGCGCACTGGTTGCAGCAAGGCTCACTCCAGGCTCCGCCCGGCGCGTCTGCTGGCCCTTGTACCCGTCGTCATATTCAAAGCGAGACAAAAAAAATGGTAGATTCAGGGCCATCGTTTGTACCGGCGAATTTCTTCGCGCCATATTACAGAGAAGTGCGTAGGCACGCGTCATAGTGTTTGTATTGCACCGCAACCAGGAATGACCACGCCACACTTTTTAATACTTCGAAGTAGTAGTGTTTTACAGTGCGCTACTCTCCCGTCTCATGTCGTCAATCTTCCCTCAGGTAGAAGAGATCGCGAGGTTTGCGCTGGACAGCTTCCCGGTGTCCCAGCCCGTTGAGCTCAGGCAGTACCTTGAGCAGTTCCTTGGCCAGTCGAGGGTGCGCTATACACACTAAGCACGCGACCTCCTACATTATCTTGTCGTGTAGTATACTGTAAGTGTACTTTTCGCATGTTTTGTGGCGTAGCATACAACAGCAGTACTGCTGCTGTGTCCAACCACTGGGATGCGACCCCGGTCGGCAATTCTCAAGCCCCCATAGGGATCGTTCTAGGAAGTTTTTTTTTGCATTCTCGGGCAACCCCCCTTGCTTCCCGTTTGCGCGAAAGAGGTTTAGGAAGCAGAAATTTAATTCCCGAAGTTGTGAGTTTTGTGAAAATGTACCCAAGAGATCCCAAGAGACCCCAAACGTGAGGGTATCCCAAGAGACCGCAAACGTGGGGGTAGTTCCTGAATAGGTTCCTCTGGATGCGAGTAGGAGTGGTGAATGCCAGTTTCGAAAGAGATGAAGCGGTGTTCAACTAACCGAGGAATCTATTTTTCCCCTCCGCCCCGTGTTCCGGAAACGGCGCGTTCGCGCTTCCGTGCAAAAACCAAAACGCCGTCCACCCGGTATCGAACTCGCAGGGAGTGGAAAAGCTCTGCGATGAGCTCTCGGCTAGGCGAAAAGGAGACGCACCGGGCTCAAAAACGGCATCATCATCATCATCATCATCATCATCCACAGGAGTACCCGCCAACGACTTTTTTGGGGGGGGGGTTACCGGTGGGGGGGTGGGGGGCGCCGCAGGTACAGCAGGAGGTCCGAATCGTAGGGGGAAGCAGGGCGGGAAATCGCTGCTGACCGCCGAAGGTGGCAACAACAACAACAACAACAACAACAACAGCAACAATAACAACAGGGGCAAGGGCAGAGGCAAGGTGTACCAGAAGGCCGCGGTAGAGGAAGACTTTTGGGGCGGAGGAACTACGTCCGGGCGCGTGAAGCCGGCCTCGGCGCCTTCCGCAGCTGCTCCAGGTGGCAGAAAGAACGGCACCGGCAAGCGGGGAACGGCCCCTGCCGCCGCTGCAGTAGTTGCAGCACGGGCGCCAGCGGCAGCAGCGCCGGCTGCGGCCGCAGCGAACGCTCGCAGGGCAGGAGGGGCAACCGGGACCGCAACCAAAGGCGATGTTGGCGGCGGCCGAGTGTCGTCGAAGCAACCTCTTGCTTCTTCCCCGACCGCGGCAGCATCAGGAGCAGCTGCGACCAAGCCTGGCGGCGGCGGCGGCGGCGCGAAAGTCAAGGCCGCCGCCGCCGCCGGCGGTGGGGCGAAAACCACTGCGCTGCCGGAAACTCTGCCGGCGCCAGCGCCGGTCCCGGAGTGGTCCGGCGTGACGTGCCTGTGCATGGGGAAGACACACGATGTAGTGACGAACTGCACGGACTGCGGCAAGATCGCCTGTGTGAAGGAGGGCGGCTTCGGGTGCTCCTTCTGTGGCTGCCGGCTGCCAACCACCGGCCGCGAGCCTCGCAGCGCCACTAGCGGCGGCGTGGACGGGGCCGCCGGCGCGGCGGCGCCACACTCGGCGGCGTTGAAGGAGGCGCTGGAGAGGAAGGACAGGCTCCTTCTGTTTGACCGGACGTCGGCCTCGCGCACGCGCGTTCTCGACGACCAGGGGGTAAGAGGACGGCTGCGACGGCAGTTTCATCTTCGCCCACAGGATAACTCCGTGGGTTTTGCTTTCGACTGTGAAGACACGCTAGCTAACGTGTGCTACCTAACGTGTTGTTTATTGAGCCGCTGATGACGCGAGCAACAGGATGTCCCTCTGTTCGAAGTGACCGCCCGTTTTCGAAGTTCCATCACCCCTCTCGCGCTGACCAGATACATGGCGCTGTTGCTGTTCCTGATGATATCCGTCTCCATAACAGGACTACTTCACAAGCCACAACTGGCTGTCCCAACGGGAGCGGGAGAAGGGCGAGGCCGAAGAAAAGGCGCGCAGGGATGACGCGGCCAGCCGCCGCGGAGCGAGGCGCCAGGTTAAGATGTCCATCGACATCATGGGTCGGAGGGTGATCGAGACGCATCCAGGGGAGGACGGCGGCCTGGCTGATGGCGGCGGTGGGGAGGGCGAGGCGGATGAAGATGCATCCAGGAAGACCCAAGGAGTCTCGCTGGACTTTGGCTCTTCCTCAGCTGGGGGAGGCGGTGCTGCTGGCACCAGCGCTGGCGCTGCTGCCGCCGGGAGCACCGCCGAAGAGGCGGACACGCCCGGCGCTGGTAACGGCAACCAGCGGCTCTCGCTCGAAAACACCGGGCTTCGTGGCCGTGCCAAGGAAGTGTACGATGTCATGCGAGCGAACCTGGACAAGAAAAGCCGTCGCCAACGGCCGGGCGGGGCCGGCGGCAAAGCGGTCGCAGGTAGCAGAATCGTCGGCGCTGTACCGGAAGCGTCCCGCGTCAATCTTTGGCGTGTCCAGCACGACGTCGATTCGGATGACCTGTTGCGGCAGAGCCAAGCAAGCGGGGGCGGCGGCGGTGGTGGCGCCGGCGACGGCGGCGGGTTCGGAAAGTTCGAGCCAGCAGATGAGCTGGCGTATGCAAGATGACGAAGTGTACGGAAAGACTAGCGTTGGTCGCGTTTTCAGCTGCAGCGTCGTGTGTCTCTTGTTGTTAGGGTCGACTGTGCGTACTGATCCACGAATAAAAGATGAAACAAGCTAGTCTCCCTCACTGGCGGGGCAAAGAACATTAGGCCGCCTTCCAACTCGCCCGTGCGTGTCCCGATGTTGGTTGTCCTCAGCGTCTTCGGGTTGGCACCTTCTCGGCATGTAGGGTTGAGTACGGCGTTGATTTTCTCGGGTGTTTTCGACGTCCGCTGGAAAATAAGGGGAGGCTCTCTCGAAGATATCTACATGCGAAGCAGCGGTGGCGTTGGAGCTTTGTTCAGCCCTACAAATCTTCACCTGTTGCAGAGCAAAATTGTTATACAAGAAACGTTGTTTGGCGGTCGGCGTTGACGTGAACGCGCATGGACGACAACGCCAGGCTTGAGTCCTTCGCTGAAATTCAAGCAGGATGCAGCTGTGTTGGCAGGGGTGCGTTTTCTTTATGCTCGTCCAACCGTTGTACCCTCCCAATACATACAGCAAAGCACATGTAGAACCTGGATGCTCAAGGCAATCCACACCGACCTAGAGTAAAACACTAGCACGCGGATAATCGTACACACTTAAAAAGCGACCGAACATGTCGACATGGCCTCAAAATTCCACCCCATTCACGCACCACAAAACGGACCAGAACCACAAAACCAAAACCGATCGATAGACATTTGACACCGCTAATCGTTTCGGCCATGCATACAAAACACCACAATCGAGGGAGCCCCGGCTGCTCGAGCCCCGAACACACACGACCACAGCAACAGAAAGGCGTGCTCCGGCACAGCAAAAGCGGACAGCTCCCCGAAATTTCCAACGGAAATTCTCTCTGAGGGCGAACGTCACACGAAAAACCGAGGCAGAACACCCTTCGTTGGGCTCTTGTGGTACCCCTCGCAAGCCTTTGTGGACGCAGTTCGCGCCCCGATACCGAAAAGAGGGGGGCGAGCAACCTGCCTCGACTGAGACTACCATATACAACAGAACGCAAACCTCTTTTGAGTCTCGCAACAGTAAAATTATCTGTGGGGGTGAATACTTTTCGAAGCTTTGAGGAGAAACAAAGGGGTTTCGAACAGGCAAGGACAAAATTACTCGCGAGGGAGCCAGCGCCGCATGACAACAACAAGCTCTTGCCTATTGTACTTGCTTCCATCCGAATCGACACCCATAATCGCCACGAGACACGGTAAGACGTGAAGCGAAAGAAGACATCAGAAACATAACGTGTTTTCTCCCTCCAAGACGAGGCGAAACCCTCCAGACTATTCCTTCCGCGTGCGGCCCAAGAGCCGCCCGCTCCGTGATCTCATACCCGTTCGTGGCACGGCGCTGCAAAACTCCGAATGAACAATACCTTATTTTGGCACCGCCCTGCAGACCTACTGCAACGTTTGCCCCCTCAAAATCGGAACGGTTGTAGTTCCACGACCGCTACAGGCCTGCAGGAACATAACACAAGGCAACCACAACCGCGGTGGCAAGTAGGGATGCTGTCCTCTTTCCGTATCCGCCCAGATAAATGAGTCGCATGGGAGACGCATTGCCTTCTCTTCCCCCCCCGCGCACCAATCGCGCCTGATCCACCGTGGCATGTGGGAATGCTATCCTCTTTCCGCCTCCATCAAGAGACATAAGGCACATGGAAGGCGCCGTTCCCTTCTCTTCCCCCGCCCGGCGCACCATTCGCGCCGGACCTCGTTGGAGCCATCAGGGTGACTCGGGGCGTGCTCGCTAACCACCTCTTCCACCCGGGGGGGCTGCTCTTCGACCGCTATAGGTCTGCCGCATTCCGCACTCACGCACGGGGTTACAAGTCAACCGCCCCTCCTCTTTCCGTTCGTGTTGGAGAGAGACAAGAAGAGAAGATTGTCTCTCTCGCCACTCCTCTGACGTTGGCTCCGGCTATCCGGCAAGGCTGCTGTTCTCGACCGCTACAGGTCTCCCACAACACAGCACACCAATGTCACCACACGATTGATTCCTGTCGCCCCTCTCCGCCAGAAAAAAGACCGAGCGAGCGAGAGAGACAGCGAGAGCATTCTCAGCAATAGCCTCCCCCTCCCCGCCCTCCTCCTTGCCACCCAAGCACGCGCCTCCCCTCACTCCTCAACCACACGCACCAGGACATCCGTCACGAAAATCGTCACCGTGATCGGGATCGCGACGGCCACCAGGTTCTTGCTCATCCCGCGAACGGCGAACCCCGCCCCCTCCTCTCGCCTGAGCTTGGCCAGCGCGTCTCTCACGCCCAGGTCCGTCTTGAACATCTCGTTTCTCAGCACGTCCAGCGGGTTGGTGAGGGCGGCGCCGGCCACCCCGGCGGCCACCGATTTCTGGGCGGAGCGCCACAGCGTCCCCCATCGGTCCCCGTGGTCGGCGGGAGCGAGGTTCCGTTCCATGTAGTCCTGCACGGTACGGTAAATGCGGCGGGACGAGGTTCAATGGGAGCGCAGAGATGGACGGGCCGAGGAACCCGATCACGAGCGGCGGTGGTGCCAAGGGGGAGAAAATTCGAACAAGAAGATGCTCTTGAACCCCACTGTTGTGTGCCGCGTTGCTCCACTCGGAGAAAACTTGCGGAGGGCCTTCCCCAAAGCTCGCACACCAAGCAGGGCCGAACGGTTGGCGCAAGAGCCGATGAGCTTTGCAGCTTGAACCATGCGCAAATCAAATGGGGGGCGTAGAACCTAAACAGACGACACGAACACCGTCGGAAGCACTACACCTTCGTGCCACGCGTCCTCCAGGCGCAATCACACTCACCTTGACGGTTACCGCGACGCAATACTTGGGCACGGTCTTCATGACCCCTGCGGAAGTGCCGTGCCACAGCGCACCAACTCCGCCTTTTCTGTAAATGGCTGCCAGCGACTCCCTCACGGAGGAAAACTTCGAGTCCGGGTTCTGGCAAAAGAACGCCAAGCAAACACATAAACGCCAAGTAAACACATAAACGTTCAAAAACACGGGGGCAAAAGTAGGCACCTTCGATTGCATACCATACCACACTCCATGGACTGATTTCCCAAGCTCCACGAACGCTTCTTCTTCTTGCAGCGAAAACAACGACCGTGATGGCGTTAGAACGGGCTCGTCCAGAGTACTGACAACGCATCCTTTCGAATGTGGCGTCCTCGTCGTCGTGGAGGAATTGAGATGAAATGTTAGTCCAGGCGGCGTGGTACCTTTATGCAGCCTACGGTAGGCTTTCAACAGCGCGCTACTTTTCGACGAGTGGCTTTCGGAATCTGCGTGCGCGCTGGGAAAATGCGGAACGGCGAGACGAAATCGAACGCGAGTGGCGGCACTGCCAATCCCGTGCGCACCCTCGTGCAGACGTGTAAATTATGGACGGACGCTCGCTGAAGCACTACGAGAAAGTGGCCGATGAGCGGGGGGCAAGGTACAGGTAAAGGCCTGCCCAGTCCAGGCAGTAGGAGCACACTGCCTCGGTCCCACCCTCATGACGAACGTGCGCACCGGGGAGTGAGGCGCTTGCCACGTTAACAACGACGGCAACAGCAGATAGAGCGGCTTTCGTCTGGGATTCGACTCGGAAGGCAGCCGTTCTCCTGCGGGACGAGACAAAAAACAAGGCCTCGCGCGCTGCGAGCACAATAATTTTCCACCGCCGAGAAAAAGCCGGCGGTTCAGTCACGTAATGTTGCTGTTGTTGATGGGTTTCGGCCTCGAAACTCTTCAGCACAGGTTACCTCAGGGAAAGTCGGATTCTTACGACAGGACTCACCTGGATGGTAATGCTGATGCGTTCCCGATGCCCCCGAACCGCAAGCGTGACGCCAACCCGCAATTAAACGGCATCCAAATACAGCGTGGGCGAGGAGGAAGGAGAGTAGCGGCTGGTAAGACTTTGGCACCGCATAATGTACGGCTTACTCTCGCTACGGTGGTGGCGGTGGTGCAAATGGTGTTCAGGGGCTGAATAGTCATCACTTCGCCCACAAACCGAGACTGGCTCGTCTGTCTTCGGCGCACATGAACTTACGAAGTTCATCACAACAAACGTCGCAAGACGACTTCTTGCTTAGCCCCTCTTTGCCGGCTCGTGCTTTCTCTTTGTCACCGGAAACCGCAGAGACAGCGATAGATGTAACGGCCAGAGTATTTCAGCTACACTCTTCCTTCTTGGTGGTGATGAGTGATGAACAAGCCTACAGCAGTACAGGTCCCAACTCCTTCATCTTCCCTCGTGGCAGCGACAATTTAACTCCGTGGAATGCCTGGGTCTCCACTACGTGCCTGACAAATTGTGTGCTTGCTTCGAAACAGCATTGCGGCAATTGGCTTCCTTGTCGAGCCCCCATATCGTCGACCAAAGCACGACTTACTGATTCCCTTCTCGCCAATCACGGTTCTACGAAAAGGTTAACAAGTAGGACTGTACTGCTGTAGTCTCGCATGTCTCTCTTGGCACTAGCACACCTTGCTCGGATGATGGGCATGTTAATCAACTGAACCACGGTGGAGAAGACCAGAGGCGGCACCGCCACCGTCACCACCCGACTTGAGCACCCTAGCTCCTCCAGCTTGCGCTTGCCTCGATCGCTTCCGTAGAAGATGAAGGCGCGCGCCCACGTCATCTGGGTGCGAATACGCATGGAGAGCAAGGCAACATCAAGTTTGATTAAAGGGATCAATCAACAAGAGAGGCTTGAAGAGGTTGCAATGTGGATGTGTAACCGCTCTAGGGGCAAAATGGCCTGGGTCCACTGCTGTCGCAGTTCAATACACAGAAGAAGTGAAATGAGGCGGTCTGAACAGATTTGATCCCAATTACTCACCCCAATAATTGTCGCTGCAACCCCTTTGTACGGTGGTTTCAGAGCTTCCAAATACCTGGAGTAGTGAGCAAAATATTCCGAGGGAAACGATTGAGGGAAGTTAGTTTCAAGGGACATAGTCTACACAAAGAAATGGTGTTGTTGGATCTGCAACAGCAGCGAGGTTGCGTGACGGACGGGAGGAGTTCAAAACTCTCGGAAGGTCGACGTGACTCCTTTTTGCAGAGCGAGTGGACACCACTCGCGCTACGGTGGCCAGAGGTGGGTTGTGCCTAGACTAAAGGGGTCCAGAAAGGACCCAACTGCTGTAACTGCACGGCTGTTGTGCCTGCTGACGTACATACCCTCCGCAGGCAAGTTTGAAGCCAACCGATTAATCAACCGACTGTTGCGCTGCTGCTGTGTATAGACGACGTAAGTTCCACGTTCTACCATGCACGCTAGAGCGCATACGCATTTGCACCAATGAAAGTCAATATCATGCACACAGAGGGCTCGCGCACAGCTGGTGTGCTGCTGCCTGCTGGCACGCAACAGCAGCAGTGCAGGTCTGTCGATTGTTGCCTCGAAGTACCACCGCACCTTTGAAAGAAATTACTTTCCATGCTCGTTGCTCTGTCAAAGCCGCTCTGGCCGATTGCTGCAGCTCTCCACAGAGGGAAATTGATTATCGCAGCCACGCCAGAGGCCGCGAAGTGGCATTCTGGGTGGGAGCTCTTCCCGCCAGCCATGTCCCCAAGGTGTCTGTGTCCTGTGTGAGGTGATCTCACGTAAGTGATCCATCCGCGACCTAAAGGGGGATCCGCGAATCGATAATTCACACGTACCCTAACCATGTCACGGAGCCCCGCGACGGGCCTGTTGCCTACTGTACTGCTGCAACTTTCCTACTGCTCACCTCTCCGCTGTGCTGCTGTGTGCCTGCACTCGTTTCTTGCTCTCGTCCTCTTCCCCTTCCACTTACGCAAAAGCAAGGAACCGAGGCGACATGGTGTCTTCTACCTCTGTTTCTTTCGGCTTGGCACTACTAGCAGGCGTACCCGCGGGAGCTTTCGTACAAGGTGACGAACATCTGTCCCCCCGACATGTTTATGTTTCTCATCGCCCTCGTCCTGCATGATGAATGTTCGGCATTCGAATATATTCCTGTTGTAGAGCAGTAATTCGAAGCAGCTCAATCGTTGCCCCATAGTGCTCTTAGACGCGGACATGGGTTCGTGTGGCCGCCGTTTTGTGGCGGGTTGTGCGTTGAACTTCGTGTGACATTGGATGACGTGTCCTGTTGTGTGCGTCGGTGTCACTGCCGATGATCTGATGCTGCTGCTGGTGTTTTCTCTCTCCCCACCCTCCTCTGATCCGCGTGGTGGCACGGCCGCGGGTGGATCCATCCACTCCCTCAGCGCCGGCGCGATGCACCGTGACGCAACAAGCGGCCAGCCGGGCGCGAGGTAGCAGATCAACGTCGCCGCCGTGCCTGCTGAAGCAGCGCTCGAGGCCGCCTGTCTCCTCGTACACGACCATCTTCTCCGAAGGGGAGGACAGCAGTCCGGCAGCAGCGTCAGCAGAGGGTAGCAGTGAGCCCGATGCGGCTGCTGGTGGTGGTGGGAATGGGGCGGAGGTAGCGGTGGTCGAGGAGAAGCCATTGACGGAGGCGGAGCTGGCGCAGAAGGCCAAGATGGAGGAGATCGAGCGCCTTCGCGCCAAGGAGAAGTTCACCACGGTCAAGACAGGTACGCCATCTGCACTAAATAGGACAATAGATGAAGTGGAGTACACACGAGCATATTTGTGACGAGCACCCCCGACTCATAGCAGCAGCAGTTTGCATGCTATGTTCATAGTACGCGGTCACACCGCCGCATGATTTGCTGCGACTCGATCGAATTGTGCATTTGCGTGATACTGCTGCGGTGGCCGTGGAGAATGACAAGAAATGTTCAGAGAGTGTTGATGTTCCCTCAACAGCATAGCGTCTTGCGCACTCTCCGCCAATTTAGAGCCAGCTTCTCCCAGCGCATGATGGCGGGTGACCTCACGCTTATGGCTACAATGCGTATGAGTCGGTAATTATCCAGCGATTGACTTTATTCCGGTAGGAAGTGCTTGTGCACGTACCCGAGAATTCACAGCATGTAGACACAGCGTGGCGGCGATATTTCGTTGCCAAGTGCTTCTTCCGTAGGCTCAACACATGGCAGCACTTTGGAGAACACAAACGCCGAGAACGTCGACGGACAAGCGCCACGGATAAGCGATTTAAGTCGATCATAAGCTCTTTGCTACCAGAGTGAGGTAGGCGGCACAAGACCGCTGTAGGTTTGTATCTCCAAGTTTTCCTGTTGTGTTGGCGACAGGTGTTGGTATTTGCTCAAACCGGGTTAAGTAAGTTGCCCGACGGACGTGAAACGCTCTTGGAGCAACGCCAGGTTATCGGGAAAAAACACCATTTGCCCAAGGCAGAGAAGTAAATGCGTCAAGGAATGAATATCATGCATCCATATCCCAGGATAGCTCCATCAAACGCTAAGGAAGACTGTGCACGGATTTGTAAACGTTTGGTCGTTGCGGTTCGCTGGGCTCTTCGAGTTAAAAACCCGTCGTCACCTGCACGAGCTTGTCGAAAACGTCACCGATAGCAGCTGGCAGCTGATTCGCACCTAACACGCCTTACTTTCATCTTGCATCACGTCTAGATGACACTACTTGTACTACTATGCTTTGATAAACCCACTCCGGAGGCGCGCCTTGTAGAATATCTGCCGTCTGGACCCTCCGTCCTTCATCGTATCCGAAGCCCCCCTCATAAGCCTCGGAAATCAGCGTCCGAGAGAACGCGCGAACGCCGCCAAGCGATCAACATAGCTGCTGTCTCTTTTCGATTCCGACAATCACTCGCCGGGGCCTCTCCAAGGCCGCTCCGCTTGCCTGTGATGAAAGACTCGCGTCGTGGATCAAGGTGAACCGGGCTGTAGTAATATTTAGCTATGCCGTTTCAAGCATAGCTATCGGTTTCTCGCTCCTGTGCTATCCCAAAAGATCACCATGCCGCATCCACCGGCCGTGTAGTGTTTGTCATCGCTCTCGACGGTTCCCCCTCCTCTGCAGTGTCGCTTAATTACCTCGACGTTGGGAGACCTACTTCATTGTTCCTCGGGAGCTGCATGGCGTAGTGCTTGCACCATGTCGCACCTCCGGCCTAATGCGGGTATTTCTCTTGCTAACTTCAAAGCCCAAGCTCTTCCCCTTGGAGTCCTGGTTACTGTAGCTGCGCCCGATAAGCAAACACCCGAAACAATATGCCCACCGCCCAACAGCATTGTAACAAGGACTACGTCCTCGACGACGAATGGCACCCGCACGGTTAAGCCACTGCTGTGCTCTCGTGTGGGCTGGCGGGGGGGGGGGGTACTCATAGTCGTGCATGCCGTAGTCGTTAGACCATTGACCTCGCATCCCTACAAAGCCGGGACGGAGCACGCCGGGTTCTCACCGGACCAGGCTCTCACATCACCAAGCGCGAAGCGCCGTGAGATATTCGGCGAGTCGCATGAAGGGTGCGCTGCATCCTGCTAAGGGTGTTCGGCATCTTGTGCTTACTTCCTTGCGTACGGATGACAGCTGCGTATGAATTAATTTATTTTCTGGTGCTTTCACTTCCAGACACAGTTATAAGCACTGCGTAACTGCCTCGAGGTTACTTCACCATTTTAACACAACGTGGTGCGATCATCCCCCTTGCGCGGAGTGAGGGTTATCGACCCCGCACAACATGGTCTACTCGACCACCATTATGGTTACCGCCGAAAACAAAACAGAGGCGAAAAAAACGGTAACCTGGTAGCCGAGTTCACGAAGTGAATTGGCTTGTTTTACAACGTC